GTCGGGTTCCACTAAGGTCTCTGCTGGGGGTCACATTCGCCAGGAAGTGGACCTGAACCCTCCAGGGGTCAGAGCAGACCAGTAGCACATGCAGAACCTCCCTGTGGCAGGGGGAGGGTCTCCACGGGTTCTGTCCTCGTCTCTGAGCCACACCAGGAAAGTGCTGCGGCCTCCTGTGCCAGGGCTCCTCTGGCCGTGGATGGAGTGGCTCTGAGGCTGCTAGGCAGGGGTGCTGAGGCAGGTCACTCAGAGGGATAGGACACCAGCCCAAGATGACACTGTCATTAACAAGGCAAAAGGGACATTGTGGATGCAGCGATAGAGGTGCAAATAGACACAGGCCCTGCCATCAGGGGCTGGAGAACAGAGACCTGTAAGTCTGTTCCCACTTTTGTCTTCTCGCTGACTCTGGGCTTCATGATGGGCAGCATAAGCACTTCCAATTGATGAAACCCAACATGAGAACTCAAGTTTTGGGCACCTAGTCCCATGTCACTAAGGACTATGTCAACATACACTTGGAGTTGCAACACACATTCTCACATACTTTGTTTTTATAACATCAGGAGAGGGACATAGAAGGCAATGCTCTGACCTCTCCCCAGAAAGAAATGAATGTTATCTTTTCCGGGGTTCAGTCTGTTTCATGTTTTCATGATTCCCACCAGGAGGTGCAATACTATCCAGCTGTGAGAAAGCACTCTTACCATTTGCAACAGCATGGAGGAGCCTGGAGAGCATTATGCTGAGTGAAATAAACCAGTCAGAAAAAGGCAAGTATTACACAATCTCACTCAAATGTGGAATCTAATAAACAAAATAAATAAAATAAAATGATGAAAATAACAGATCCAGAGACATAGAAGCACAGAACAGACCCTCAAACCTCAGAGGGAAGGCTGGAGTGGGGTGGTTGGGTAATGAAATTATAGTCATACTAGTGTCCTGGTGCACAGATTCATGCACATTGAAAGGAAATTAATTAAGACAAAGCTGGTTTGGCTCAGTGGTAGAGCGTCGGTCTGTGGACTGAAAGGTCCCCCAGGTTCGATTCAGGTCAAGCATGTACATTGGTTGTGGGCACATCCCCGGTAGGGGGTGTGCAAGAGGCAGCTGGTCGATGTTTCTCTCTCATCGATGTTTCTAGCTCTCTATCTCTCTCTCCCTTCCTCTCTGTAAAAAATCAATAAAATACATTTTTTAAAAAGAAAGGAAATTAATTAGAAGTATTTTAGTATCGCTATTCACCCTTTCTCTATAATAGAAGTGTCAACCAAATTCACAATCGACAATGACAGATTGAAACACACATGTGATTGGCACTAGTGAGAGCTTTGTATGTACCACACATGTGCAAGTCAACTTAGACTTTTATAGACATAGAATAAACTTGCTTCATTAGACCTGCTTTGAGATGTAGCTAAAACTTTTCCAGCAGAGGAAAGCACCCCAACTTCTCTTTCAGGTAATTGTCAGCAACACGGCAATAAATATCAACACAAAGCAGGTTATTATTGTAGATCACACAGGGAGAACAAAGGGTAAAATATTTAACTGTAGCAGTGTTTGACTATATTCTGTGCAGTGAGAAAACATGAAGTCACTTTCAAGGTCCACCATTTCTTACATATCTTCAGTTGGGTCAAGTTTCTGAACTTTCTAAATTTCCATTTTCTGGCTAATGAAAATAAAATAGTATTCTATAGTCTCCTATCTACCTACTCCAGGACTTCTGTGAGGATCAAATGAGATGACTCATGTGAAAATACTTCACAGACATTGATTGAACTGTAATATGCTTGCACCTGGCTATAAAGGAAGTCGTGTTCCTGGGCTGAAGAAACTACAAGGAGGTTAGTCGCTAGGGAGAGGAAGCCAGGCATTGCTACTTGACATTGTTACCTGGCACCCACAGGGACCATTTCTGAGTGGAGGTGGGCTGTGGGCCGTATTTTGTGCCATGGGGTCATAGCAGTGTCAGCTTCCATTTGGTGGGGTATTGCTCCAGGGTGGTGGCAGGGCCTGTGTCACACTTGGGAGAAGCTGAGTGTTGGTTGTCAGCACCAGGTCTGTGGTGCTGTTTATTTTTAAACTAGAGGCCTTCCTTCCCTTGGCTTTCAGCACCGGTTTTCCTCCACCTGGGACCCAGGCCTTCGCTCCGGCCCGAGTCTGCCATCTTCATCTTTGCTGCAGACTTCAGAGTCTGCAGTATTGTCTTTGCTGTGGCACTCTGCTCCTGTAGATCCCTTCACCCCCCATCCTCCCTCTCAAAGCAGGCGTCCTGTCCTGCCTGGCCACTCAGCGCCTGAAGCAGCTGGGTGACTGCCATCTTTGGTCTTGTAATGTGCATATTCACTCTGATTGGCTGTGGGTGTAGCAGAGTTGTGGTCAATTTACATGTTTGTCTATTATTAGGTAAGATGGGTAGTGTGGGTTATGACAGCTCCTGCGTGATACATCTGCCCCTTGGTAGTCAGTTGGATGGATGGACACTTAGCCTTTTATATATACAGGTATGCATAGCCCATAGACAGACAATAGGTAAGTGTAGGTGCAGGTTAAAGGGGGTCAATGGTGAAAAAATAATCAAAGGAAAATCTACAGTACTTTCAACAATAAAGATAAATTACAAAAAGAAAAGCAAATGTTATATGATCTCACTCATTCGTGGTATACTTTTTAAAAGGAAACCAAAGACAAATGAACAAACTCAGAGACAACAGATCAGGGGCTGGGCGTAGGGCTGGGGCTGGGGATAGGGTGCGAGAGGGTGAAACATGTAAAGGGCCAACTGTATGGTAACAAAGGGGAGCTGGACTTTGGAGTGAGTGCAACGCAGCTGGACTGTATAATGCTGCACGACTGAACCTGGCAGACTGTAATAAGTGTGTGCCATGCACACTCACACAGCCACGTCGGGAAAGATCCGCGAAGGGAAGGAGGTGGGACCTGCACAGGGACCTGAGTTCAGGGGGGCCTCTCAGAGAGGGGCGTGGCGGGAAGACATTAGAGCAGCCGAGAAGGAAGCCAAAGAACTCAACATGCGCGACATGCAGAGCCAATGAGCACGCCAGGAGAGATGTGGTGTCTGCAACCCCAGAGGGAGCTGGTGTCAGGCAGGCATGGCCTTGGGGCTGCCCCGTGAGAGGCAGCGGGTGAGGCTTAGCCTGGGTACAGGGAGGCCTCTGCACGAAGGTCCTCATGGGAGCTTGTGAAGGTTTGGGGGAGAACTTAAGCAAGAACAGAATTTCCTGATTTCTGGGGACAATGGGTTCTGAGAGCCATTGAGGGTTGCTGGGATGCCAACAGCAATCCCCGACGCCAACCAGGGTCCTAATTCCATTCAGTCGGCAACGACCACCTGCCGGCGTGCAGACCCAACACGCCAAGGGCAGTTGCTCACAGACTGCCCGTCTGTGGTGCCAGCCAGCCCAGGCTCACCTGCACCGATGACCAACCAGCCCTCCATGTGGGAGTTCCCGTGACCCCCTAGTTCACTGACCCACCAGCAGGATCGCAGGGCTCACAGAGGGCGCCATGCTCACAGCTTTACCATGAGGATGCGGTCCGGAGCAGTCTAGTGGGGAGGTGCATAGTTCACGGTCTGGGGAGAGGGGCAGAGTGTCCAGGCCCTTCCCCATGGCACTGGGCACGTCGCTTCCCCTGCCCCCCACCCAAGAACATCACGTGCTCATCACCCACTGATGCTTCAGTGGCCAGAGCTTTCTTGGGGCCTTATCCCCTCTCCCCTCCCTGTTGGGTGGAGATGGGCCTGAAAAAGTTCCCACCCTCATCATGGCTGTCTTCCTGGTGTGGCCAGCCCTCTCGCTCCAGCTCGGAGACTATCCCAGGGCCCCGGCCCCCCTCATTAGCATACGCCCAGGTGTGGTGGAATGGCCTCCTTATGGATAACCAAGGACACTCCAACCACAGGAAGTCCCAAAGGTTAGGAGCTCTGTGTAAGGAAAAGAAACAAGGAGCAGAGATGTCTGTTCCGCTGCATCACAGGAAGGCAGGGAAGTTGGTTGGCGACCAGCAGCACTCAGCATTGCAAGGAGCAGTGGAGGGGAGCCTGGCCTCTGGGAGCTGGTCAGCAAGGAGGAGGGCGGGCCGGGAGGGAGGAGGAAAGCAGCTCCCGCAGGAGCCAGGCTGCTCCCGGGAGAGGAGCCGGGAGCCCAGACAAACCGGAGGCTGTGAGGGAAAGGAGCCCACAGCCGCCTCTGGCTTGAGCCTGGGGCGTGAACCCCAAGGAAGAGGAAGCAGATGGGTCCTAACACAACCTCCCTGCCACACGTTTGCTTTTGAGACAAACTGTTCTTAGAGCCCTGAAAGACTGCTCTTGGTATGAACACTGAACGGCCTCCAGCAGGAAGGAGCCTTCTCTCACAGGCCGGTCTGTTTTATTCTTTAAAACCCAGAGCAGAGCCTTTAGGTTTCTGGGCCGGGAGGGTCCCATGCAGGACCTTGGTCACAGCCAGAACCTGCCCTCCAGCCACCGGGGAAGCCGCTCAGAGCTGTAATCCCACAGGCAGATCCTCTCTGACGCTTCCCGCAGTGCAGACCTTCCAGAAACAGCGGGGGTATCTGTGCCTTATTCTGTGGGCACAGAGATGACATGTGAGACCTGGCACTGACCCTTGCTGCACTGATGCCAGAGGGCAGGGCCAGCAGCACTCAGGGCTCTGGATTGGCGGACTGGCCAGGCCCAGGGTGTTGCAAGTCGGGGGAGGGTCGAGGCCAGGAAGTGGAGGGCAGGGCCAGCAGCTCCCAGCGCTCAGGATTGGTGAGGCCCGGGGTGTTGCAGTTGAGAGAGGGCCGAGGCCAGAAGGCGCCTGAGTGCAAAGTCCCAAACAACAGGCCTGGCTCTGGGCGGGACCAGCAGGCCAGCGGCTTTCCCGGCTCAGCAAACAGGCTCCCAGGAGGGTATCAGACCACAGCTCTGTGCTGACAGAGCCCGCAGCCTGCGGGAATAGCACTCCGGCTCCTGACACCAGAACAGAATGGAGGAGCTGAAATGTGAATGGACAGAGCGCATAACTGTGGCCTATGTGAAGGGAATCCTTCAACCCAAACCCACCTGCGACAGCTGGGACCAGATCTGGGACTTCCGGGCCAGGCCTGACGACCTGCTCATCTGCACCTACCCTAAAGCAGGTGGGGCGGAGCTGGGGTGCAGGGAGGGGGTGGGAAGTGCATTTACAGGGAAATAAAGAGATGATGGGGTGTGAGTGGAGGGCTGCTGGCTGGGCAGTGAGGGGTGGGAAGTGCATTTACAGGGAAATAAAGAGATGATGGGGTGTGAGTGGAGGGCTGCTGGCTGGGCAGCGAGGGCTACAGCAAACTGCTGTGGAAAGTGAAACTAAAACAAGATTTAAGTGTTTAATTCTCCCAGTGACGCACGTTTCTTTTTACCTCCTCAGCAAGGAACACAGGGGCTCTAGACTTGTTGATTGCTTTGTTCCCAAGGCAGGCCTTCCGTGTGGGCCGTGTACAACGCCGCTCTGTGTGAGTGAGCGGGAAAGGGACCCAGGCTGATTGGGGAATGATTAGGGGAACTGTGGTTCTGCATTGCAGACCGGCTCGGCAGCCTCAGAACCTGCAGGCAGGGTCGGAGGGCTGTTCTTCCCGAGGAAAGTGCAGCTCAGCCAACAGGGCAGCTCGCAGGGAATGGCTGAGGCAGGAAACTGCACACACAAGTCTACTTCACCCTGTAGCCTTTTCATAAAAATCATACTATGGTAAAACAAGGTATAAAGAATGATGTTTTCTCAATTCCATCGTAAACCTGGCTTCACAATGCACACAGATGTCTAACAAGCACTTGACCATCTTAAGGGTATAGTACACTAACGGTCTACTCGCTCACCTCCTGCTGAACAGGGACAACGTGGACTCAGGAGATAGTGGACTTGATACTAAATGATGGTGATGTTGACAGAACTCAGCGAGCACCTACTCACGTGCGGTTTCCTTTCATCGAATGGATCATCCCGTCCATAGGATCGGGTGAGTGTGGAATAACCTCACTTGATTGCACTCCTAAAAGCAGACTCAGAATGCTATCAGTCTCTCACAACTCCAGACATTCGCACAAGTAATTATGGGTTTTGTGACTCTGTCTTTTTAAAAAACTGTATCAGGCCAATGCTGTACTCCAGCCACCTCTTCTAATGAGTCCCTGCTGGTACGGAAGGAAGGCACATTTTGATCCTCCAATTAGACATTAATTTTACTCCGCCAGGAAGACTTCCTGGTCAACAGGTTTGGGTTTTTTGGGTTCTTATTCGTTTGGTTTGCGGTTTGTAATGGTTAGACATTGTTCAAACCAGAACATTAATTCACAGGTCAGAGCACGGAGCTGCCTTACCTTGCCAGTTGAGCCAACTGGTGGTAACAATGAACGCAGCAGTGTTTTGCACACAGAGAACAATAGTGGGAAATGATCAAAATCATTTTACAGGCTTGGAACAAGCTAATGCGATGCCCTCGCCGAGGATCCTGAAAACACACCTTCCCTTCCAATTGCTGCCTCCGTCTTTCCTGGAGAAAAACTGTAAGGTAAAGGGTATCAGGAGCTCTGAGTTATGCTCTGGTCTTCACTCTATTTCCTCTGAAAGCACCTCACTTCATAACCTGTTAACCGGGGAGTTCCCTTTTTAATTACGCAATCTATAATGGGCGCGTACTCTTTCACTAGGACGTGTCAGTATGTCATGCCCGGAGGACGTAATTTCATATTATTATTTTTATTTATTTATACTTAATTAAAATAAATGATATATATATATTTTAGTTTATTTATATATAAAGCACAAAGGAAAATACAAAATTACCAAAAAAATAGAAAAGAATACCAACAAAAAAAATGGAAACATCGAATTAAAAAATTATAAATTTTACAAACAATTATAAAGATTACAAGAAATATATACCATCCCTCTCAGGGCGCAACATATATTTCCATAATGTATTCATACGTCCTACCCATTCCCGATATTGTTTACGTTTGACGTATTTATAGGTCCCGCTCAGTTAACAGATTAAAGGGTTCACCTCTTTACCACAACCGCTTGCACATGGCCATGAGCTTTCCATCTCCCCTCACCCACCTCCCCGGGACCAGCAGCCCAAGACCCCGCTCGTGGGCGATAACCACCATGCAGCGGCCTCACGGGCTATTTCTCTCCCCCCTTCCCAGATAATCTATGTGGCGAGAAACCCCAAGGACAACCTGGTGTCTTACTACCATTTCCACAGGATGAATAAAGCGCTTCCGGCCCCAGGGACCTGGGAAGAGTATTTTGAGAGCTTTCTGACTGGGAAAGGTATGAACCTTCTGCTCTGAACCCCTTTCTAAGCCTCAAACACCATAAAAAGGGCCATTTTCTGAGGACCCCTGGGGCCTGCCTTCTTGGATGTGAGGGGATCACCACCTGACACTGGGAGCTCTCTCCTCCTTGGGGTGTCAGCTGGTGAGCGGGACCCCTGGCCCCACCTCATTCCCTGGCCCAGTCCCACGCCAAGTCCCTCTTCCCATTCCCCGCTGACCCCATCCCACGCCCTATCCCCGTTCCATTCCCCTGGCCCTGTCCCACACCCTGTCCCCCATCCCATTCCCCTGACCCTGTCCCACACCCTGTCCCCCATCCCATTCCCCTGACCCTGTCCCACACCCTATCCCCCATCCCATTCCCCTGACCCCATCCCACGCCCTATCCCCGTTCCATTCCCCTGGCCCTGTCCCACACCCTGTCCCCCATCCCTTTCCCCTGGCCCTGTCCCACACCCTGTCCCCCATCCCATTCCCCTGACCCTGTCCCACACCCTGTCCCCCATCCCATTCCCCTGACCCTGTCCCACACCCTATCCCCCATCCCATTCCCCTGACCCCATCCCACGCCCTATCCCCGTTCCATTCCCCTGGCCCTGTCCCACACCCTGTCCCCCATCCCTTTCCCCTGTCCCTGTCCCACACCCTGTCCCCCATCCCATTCCCCTGACCCTGTCCCACACCCTGTCCCCTATCCCATTCCCCTGACTCTGTCCCACACCCTATCCCCCATCCCATTCCCCTGACCCTGTCCCACACCCTGTCCCCCATCCCATTCCCCTGGCCCTGTCCCACGCCCTGTCCCCCGTCCCATTCCCCTGGCCCTGTCCCACACCCTGTCCCCCGTCCCATTCCCCTGGCCCTGTCCACACCCTGTCCCCCGTCCCATTTCCCTGGCCTCATCCCACACCCTGTCCCCCGTCCAATTCCCCTGGCCCTGTCCACACCCTGTCCCCCGTCCCATTCCCCTGAACCTGTCCCATGCCCTTTCCCCCATCCCACACCCTGGCATCGCCCTGTCTTGCAGTGTGCTGGGGCTCATGGCACGACCACGTGAAAGGATGGTGGGAAGCCAGAGACCAACACCGCATCCTCTACCTCTTCTACGAGGACCTGAAGACGGTGAGGGGCAGCAGGTTCCTATTTGACCACGAAATATTACATCACAGCGGGGGCCGCCTCAGGGCTTCATTTCACTGGATAGCTGCCCGTGCGCAATGCCCCGCTGTCCTGGCTCCCGCCTCGCACGTCGCCTGCAGCTCCTGCTGCTGGTCCTCACCTGCCTTCCAGCACATCTATTTTACATTCTGCTTAGGAGGGAAACGCTTTTCTAAAACACTTTTTTTCATAGAGAAACATCAATTTCAACAACAGTTTTAAAAAAATATATATTTTATTGATTTTTTTACAGAAAGGAAGAGAGAGGGATAGAGAGTTAGAAACATCGATGAGAGAGAATCATCAGTCAGCTGCCTCCTGCACACCCCCACCGGGGATGTGCCCACAACCAAGGCACATGCCCCTGACGGGAATTGAACCTGGGACCTTTCAGTCCGCAGGCCGATGCTCTATCCACTGAGCCAAACCGGTTTTGGCCAATTTAAATAACAGTTTAAGAAATGATGGTATAATGGGAAAACACTAATGATTTAGAGTCAGAATTATTGAATTCAAATTCTGGCTTTATTATCAGACACAAAATATCGAGAGTGAAAAACAGCATCGTTTTCTATGTTTTTAATTGAGATCACTGATTTGTAACATAGTGTTAGTTTCAGGTATACAACAGGATGACTTGATATTTGTATTACTTGCAAAATGAGCACCACAGTAAGTCTACTTAACATCTGCACCAAAAAGAGTTATAACTATTTCCTGTAGTTGGAACTTTAAGATCTCGCTCCCTGACTTTCAGGTATGCAGCACAGTATCATTAACCACAGCCGCCTGACTGACTGAGCGGACATCTGGGAGTCTGTGCCTCCGACCTCACCCACTCCTCCCAGCCCTGCTCTGCCCCTGCACCCCAGTTTGTTCCCCGTGCCTATATTCTTATTCTGTTTTGTTCTAAATTGCACTCTATGCTTTTTTAAAACAAATAACTTACTACATTTCTAGTATTCTAATACACAGGGAGTCTAACCTCAGAGTTCCTAAACCCTTTTACATGTTCTGCGGTCATATTCTGGAATGCTCCCTGAATGCAGTCACATAGGCTCTCAGTTTTCAGCACTTTTGCGGATCCCTAGTCTGTAGGAGGCCAATTAAATTAAGCACTTTTTGTTTTTGTTGTTAATCCTCACCCAAGTGTATGTTGTTGTTGTCCCTCCCCCCCCCCCACATTGGCTTTCTGAGACAGTGGAAGGGAGAGGGAGAAAGAGAGAAACATCGATGTGAGAGACACATGGACTGGCTGCTTCCCACACCTGCCTTGACTTGGGCCAGGGATCCAGCCTGCAACTGAGGTATGTGCCCCTGAGCAGAATCAAACCCGTGACTCTTCAGTTCACAGGGAGGGGCTCTAATCACTGAGTCCCCAGCCTGGGCAAATTAAACATCCAACCTTTTAAAGCAGAAGCTCATCATAAAACAGAAGACACCATTGTGGGGTACATTCCTCCACTTGCCCTCCCTCACTCCTAAAAACAGGTATATCCCACGGCCACATCTCTTGCGGCCCTCTGATGAGAGAACAGTGGCTCCCTTAGGCACTGAGACACCTACGCACCAGGTGGAGGGACTGGGCCTGGAGTCCTCAGCCGGGCACCTCTCAGTTGCCTCCTGAGTGTAACAGGAGACGACTCCACTCCATCCACACCTATGTCTGGGCGCGTTTCTGTCAAAGGCAGAGCTAGCGGCTGCGGCCCCTGGTCAGACCTCGCTGCCTGCCTCGTCCCTCTGCAGTATCTTCATTCTCATCACTCAGTTATGGACTCTCCTGCTGGACACATGACTGACCAAGACCCTCCAGTAACTGCCCGAGCAGGACATTTGGAAATAAGTTTAAGTGTAGCTTTCCCAGGATACTGCACATCATCCTCAGTGGTGCTTCCATCTTGGAGCAGGAAAAGCTTAATAATTATAGTTCATTTTTAAAAATCTGTGTCACCGTATTAAAATATTCATTTCTGGAAAGTTGAGCATTTGTGAGGCAAGATTATTTATTTATTAATTTTAAAATATATATTTTATTGACTTTTTACAGAGAGGGATAGAGAGCTAGAAACATCGATGAGAGAGAAACATTGACCAGCCGCCTCCTGCACAACCCCCACTAAGGATGTGCCCGCAACCAAGGCACATGCCCTCGACCGGAATCGAACCCGAGACCCCTCAGACCGCAGACCGACGCTCTATCCACTGAGCCAAACCGGTTTTGGCCAAGATTATTTTTTATTTTGTTACTTATCAATGTTACTAATTCAATGCAATACTTTAAAAACTATTTTATATCAAATTTTCATGTTTCTTTTCACTCTGATCACAGAACCCAAAGCATGAAATCCGGAAGCTGGGAGAATTTATTGGAAAAAAGCTGGATGACAACATCCTAGATAAAATTGTCCATCACACTTCGTTTGATGTCATGAAGCAAAATCCCATGGCAAACTACACGGCAGTTCCCGCTGAGGTCATGGACCACTCGGTCTCTCCGTTCATGAGGAAAGGTGGTTCTCTCTCTGTTGGTCATGACCCTAAAAGAACTGCGAGGACCCCAGGGCCTGCGGGGCGGTTTCCATGGATAAGAAAAACAAGGTCCATAATAAATGATGCTGGGGAAGGAGTATTTAAGAGATCACAGATGAAATGAAACCAACGTTTAGCCACAACTAGAGAGTAAGGTTTAGTGTCTAAACCCACTGCCTTATCTCATTCCCCTCCAGAGTTCCAGATGATAAGGTGGAAATGCTGATTTCAGTCCAATTGAGCAAAGCATAGTGTGATGCTGCCTGACATGCAAGAGGGCAGGGAAAAGACAGCAAAGCCCCCAGGCCTGCGGTTTTAATGTGAGACCCCACCCCCACCCCCACCCCCACCCCCACCCCCACCACAATGTGGTGTAGCAGGCTCTCCTGGCCCCACAACCAGACAGACGTCCTCTTCTCTTGGACCAAAAGGGACAGGCTGGCAGGAGGAAAGCCCTGCCCTCCTGCAGGGCGAGTGGACACCGCACACAAGAGCAGGGCAGAGCACAGTCCTGAGCGGCTCTGACTCCCACCCCTCTTCCAGGGACCGTCGGAGACTGGAAGAATCACTTCACCGTGGCTCAGAACGAGCGGTTTGACGAAGACTATCAGCGGAAAATGGCTGGGACAAGTCTAACTTTCCAGTTCTAGAGAGAGAGTTTTAGTTTATTACCCAGCTCACTGGGCAACAACCGATAGAAGTTCCATTGGGCCCAGGTTCTCAGACCAGTTGTCGGTCATGTTTGCTTTCGCTCATTATACAAAGGAAAGCAGCAGCGACTGGGGACGGTGGGATGGGAACTGTCGGGAGAAGGTTCAATAAACTCCTAGTTACACACGTGACACTGGTGCTAATGATCATTCTGCTGAAGCTTACAGGTCATGAGCTGGCTAACATTAAAAATGCTCCAGTCCTCACATAAAACACACTCACGTTTTCAGATGAAGTGTTGGTTCAAGGTAGGTTTTTTTTTTTAAATTGATTGATTTTAGAAGGGTGGGGGAGATAAACATCAACTTGCTGTTCTACTTATGTATCCATTGGCCGCTTCTTGTATGTGCACTGACTGGGGATCGAACCTGCAACCTTGGCATAAAGGGGACAACGCTCTTGGCACCTGGGATACCCGGCCAGGGCCAAGCTAAATTTTAATGCAGCACTGAAATGTGTAAACAGCAACCAATTCCTGCGGTGGCTGACAGCCAGGCGCCGTCCCGTGGCTGCTTCCCCCTGACGCCTCCAGGTCACCCCAGGGCTCAGGCTAGAACTCAGCCTCCCCATCTCTCGCCACGTCCTGGGCAACTTGGCTGGACTCGCTTCCACCCAAAGTGCTAGTGTTCAGCCCACCTTACTCTGACGCTCCGAGTGCATCCACAGTCGCCTTCTCACATGCTGCACCATGTGCCGCGTGCCCTCCATGCTGCCTCCTCCATGGCCTACTCCCGCCAGAACCTGTGCTTCCCATCTAGGTGACTGTGGGCTTCCTGACGCGTTTCTCTGCTCATCACACCTGCCAGGGCTCTGCTCCTGTAGTGGAACTGATTACATTCCCCTAGGGCTGCGTTTTCCAATAATGCCCATGTTTCCCTGCCTGAGAGCTGCATCCAGCTTTTCAGCCATGAATTCAGAGGCAGCTGTAACTGTGTGTGACACAGGTGATCCCATTTTCCAAACCGCCTCGTACTGGAGCCAGTCAGCCTCCCACTGAGTCTGCTCACACCTGTCAGGTTCCTGAACTACTGGCTTCACTGTCCTGGGCCTCCACCAGGAATGCCCTCCTTTTCTGTGCCCTGCACACGGGCAGCGTGTCCTGCCCCCATGCCTCCAGCTCCTGAAGAGACTGTCCCTCTGACTCCTCTACACTTGGTATAATTCACCTTTTTATTAATGTTAAAGCATATTGTGCTGTCACTTTCTATGTTGTCTTTACTGTCTTGTTTAAATTTCCTCTGTGTATTTTTCTTTGAGATAGGGACAATATGCCTCACTGAAAACCAAACAGCACATACCTTGCACAGAAATCAGGAACTGGAAGAACATTTCATTCAAGAAAATTCTGAAAAGCCAACTGTTTCTATCCTAGGAGCCATCTAACGGCTCTCATCTGAAGCTAGCTGTGCCATAAGGTGGGACTAACCATGCGTGGCTATTTAATTAACTAACATTTAAACTTTAGCTCCTCACTCACACCAGCCAGGTTTCCAGGGCTCAGGAGCACATGTGACTGGGCCTATTGTTTGGATAGTGCGTTTTATAAAACACTAGTGACTGGTGCACAAATTCCTGCACATTGAAAGAAAATTAATTGGAAGAAAATTTTTTTTAAAATATATTTTATTGATTTTACACAGAGAGGAATTGAGAGGGACAGAGAGTTAGAAACGTCGATGAGAGAGAAACATCGACCAGCTGCCTCTTGCACACCCCCTACTGGGGATGTGCCCGCAACCAAGGTACATGACTTTGACCGGAATCGAACCCGGGACCTTTCAGTCCGCAGGCCGACGCTCTATCCACTGAGCCAAACCGGTCCCGGCTGCAAGAAATATTTTAATATCACTATTCACCCTTTCTCTAAAATAGAAGTGTCAACCAAACTTATGATCGACAATGACAGATGGAAACACACACCTGAATGGCGCCAGCAAGAGCTTTATATGTTTCGCGCATGCATGAGTCAACTTAGCCTTTTATAGACATAGAATTAACTTGCTTCATTAGACCTGCTTTCTGATGTAGCTAAACTTTCTCCAGCTCAGTGAAGCATCTCAACTTCTTTTTCAGGTAATTATCATCAACACAGCAGTAAATACCAACACAATGCAGATTATTATTGTAGATCACACAGGGAGAACAAAGGGTAATGTATTTAACTGTAACAGTGTCTGACTATATTCTGAGCAGTAAGAAAACCTGAAGTCATTTTCTTTTCTTTTTAATTTTTTTAAATCAATCTTTATTGTTCATATTATTACAAAGGTTCCTCATTTCTTCCCCCCTCCACCAGGTTCCCACCCCACCCTCGGCCCCCTCCCCATCCTCCCATTGTCCTCATCCATAGGTGCACAGCTTATGTTCAGTCTCTTCCTCCCTCCCTTTCCCCGATAATAAATCCCTTTTCAGATAGTAAATCAGTTACTTAGCATTTTCTCATATCAACAATACCTCCACATGCCCAATGATACACTTCACACAAAAGACATTTCCCAATAGGTCCACCAGCCTCATCCAGGCCCCACCCAAGGCACTCATAGATCAACACCCCAGCCCTATACTAACTCAACACATCCAGATCTAAGCCTTCATCACTTGATTCAGCAGACCCTCAAGTTCCCGCAAAAGTTTCCAGCCATGTCTGAGAGGCAGCCGTGGGGCAGGGGCAGGCGAGGAGCGAGCTGTTCCGGGCCTGGATGCTTCAGGCCTGGCCTCTGTTGCTCTGGTTTGTTCCACAACCAGCTGCTCCGGGTCTGGTCACTGCTGCTCCCGACCTAGTTGCTCTGGACTTGGCTGCTGCCGCTCTGGGCCTGGCCGCTCCCAGCCTGGCAGCTGCTGCTCTGGGCCTGGCCGCACCCAACCCGGCTGCTTCGGGCCTGGCCGCTCCCAGCCTGGCAGCTGCTGCTCCGGGCCTGGCCGCACCAGACCCAGCTGTTCTGGGCCTAGCCGCTCCCAGCCTGGCAGCTGCTGCTCTGGGCCTGGCTGCTCCCAGCCTGGCAGCCGCTGCTCCAGGCCTGGCCACACCAGACCCGGCTGCTCTGGGCCTGGCTGCTCCCAGCCTGGCAGCTGCTGCTCCGGGCCTGGCCGCACCAGACCCAGCTGTTCTGGGCCTAGCTGCTCCCAGCCTGGCAGCTGCTGCTCTGGGCCTGGCTGCTCCCAGCCTGGCAGCCGCTGCTCCAGGCCTGGCCGCACCAGACCCGGCTGCTCTGGGCCTGGCTGCTCCCAGCCTGGCGACCGCTGCTCTGGGCCTGGCCGCACAAGACCCAGCTGCTCCGGGCCTGGCCGCTCCCAGCCTGGCAGCTGCTGCTCCGAGCCTGGCCGCTCCCGGCCTGGATGCTCTGGGCTTGGCTACTGCTGTTCTGGGTCTGGCTGCTCCCAACCCAGCTGCTCTGGGCCCGGCTTCTCTGGGCCCGGCCACTCTGGGTCTGGGTGTTCCTGGACTGGCCACCCTGGGCTTGGCCGCCTCCGCCTCAGGGCTAGCTGCCACTGCCCAGGTCTGGCTGCTCCAGTGCTGGCTGTTGATGCTCTGGTTCTGGCTGCTGCTGCTCTGGGGCCTGGCCACTCTAGGCCTGGCCGCCACTGTTCCAACATTCTGTCCTTTTTTAAAAAAACAAACAAACGCATTTATGTTGCAATGTTGGCTGGTGAGTTGAGTTCTGACTTAGTCTTTGATTTTTCAAGATCTTCTTTGTATTCTTTCTTAAGTAATTTTACTATCTTTTGCTCTCACTTGATTTCTTCACATTGAGAACTTCTTTGGTTTCTTCCTCCTTGTCCTGGGAGCTCAGCAGGTTGGCCTGTGGCACCCCTTTGTTCTCAGTGGGCTCCTGCGCTGCTTCAGCCTGTTGCCGGGGACGGCGCCACCCAGGAAGCAGCCCCCGGCCTTGGCTCCATTGCCCGCGCTCAGCGGTTGAAGGCTCAGGGGCACCCTCCCCCCCCCGGGGGCCCCGTCACCCGGCTCCTTGCTGGTGCCAGGCTGGCCGGTGTCTGGCAGGGGCTACTGCTCCTTGTCGCGTTCCTCCAGTCTGGAGCTTTTTTTCTCCTTCCCGCTAAGGGAGTCTAGCATCAGAGTCAACAGACTGTCCTCTGTGCGCAGTGTGCGCAACTCTGGAAGCTCCGTTTTTCGCCGCTCCCCTGGGATTCTGCCTCACAGCCTCGTCTCCTTCTGCCTGAGCCTGGGTCCCTAGGGTTTGGCCTAGAACTGGGGCTCAGAGCAGTCGAAGCTGGGGCCCAACACGGCCGGGGCTCCGGTTTCCTTCCCTCCAGGGCAATCCCGCATCAGAGTCAACATTCCTTCCCTTGCAAGCAATGTGCGTGACTCCGGAGGCTCGGCCTTTCGCTGCTCTCCCAGGACTCCACCTCACAGCCCCGTCTCCCTCTGCTTGAGCTTGGGTCCCCAGGGATTGGCCTAGAACTGGGGTTCGGAGCAGTCCGGACTGAGGCTCAGCGCCGCCGGAGGTTTTGTTTCTTCCCGCCAGGGTAATCCAGCATCAGAGTCAACATTCAGTTCTCTGCGCGCAATGTGCGCGTGACTCCAGGGCCCCTGCTTTTCGCTGCTCCCCTGGGATTCCGCCTCACAGCTCCGTCTCCTCCTGCCGGAGCCTGGGTCCCCAGGGTCTGGCCCATAACTGGGGCTCAGCGCTGCTGGTTCGGGGGTTCAGCCCAGGCTGGGGTTTTTATTTCCTTCCTGCTAGGGAACGCCAGGCAGCACCCAGCCCTCTCCTCCTCTCCGGCTGCGACCTCTCTGCGTGTGCGGGCGGGCGCGCAACATGTCTCCGTACCTTAGGCTTTTTTTCAGCTCCTCTGATTTTCCTTCTGGTTTTCTCTTTCCTTCTTGTTGTAGAATTTTCAATCAGTCAACTACCTGTAGCTCTGGGCAATGTCCACTCTACATTTTAGTTGTATTCCATTGAAATTGTTGTGTGCTGCTGCAGTT